TTGCTAACTGGATATTGATGATTGGTGATCGAAAAATACCTGGAATTTCTTTCACTGAAGGCGGGGGAGACTAATTGGATTGAAATTCCAGAACAGTTCTTGATTAGAAATGAATCACATGCTTTACATGATTTGATCCATGCAATCTATCCAGAATTAAGTACTAGATACAATGATAGTTCTTACTTGAAAGAACGTGGCATCATAGTACCAAAACATGTTGATGTTGATGAATTAATTGTCATAATGCTATCAATGTTGCCTGGAGAATCTCGAAAATACCTAAGTACAGATACGATATGTCCAGCTGAGGGTAAGAACATTGACAAAGGCATGCATCCACCAGAGTTATTGCACTCATAAAATTTTCCAAGAATTCCAAGTCATTGCCTTGAACTCAAAAAGAGAGTGCCTATAATGTTACTGAGAAATCTCAATCAATCTCAAGGTCTATGTAATGGCACCCATCTTATTGTTGAGAAAATGGGAGATAAAGTGATTGAGGCACGAGTGATTACGAGTTCGAATATTGCGAAAGGAGTCTTCATTCCACATATCATGTTATCACCATCTACCACACATTCACATGTCCCGATTAAAAGAAGACAATTTCCCATAAAATTAGCATTTGCAATGACCATAAACAAAAGTCAAGGTCAGAGTTTAAAAAAAGTTGGCGTATACCTTCCTAATCTAGTATTCTCCCATGGTCAGTTATATGTTGCTTTATCGCGTGTTACCACACCATAAAGCTCGAAGATATTGATTGTTAATAAGGTTGACCAACCGTCAAATTACACAAAAAATGTTGTATATCGTGATGTCCTTGATGGCATTTGAAGATTGATATAAAAAGTCTTTTCAAAATTTCAATGACTATGTTTTTTTCATTCTTTAATTATACAATACTTACTACTCTAAATTTTAAATCTTATCCAAAATATTACATTTAGTATACAAAAAATTGGAAGATCTAATCTCTTTCTTTTTTTTCATTTTATTTAATAAAAATAATTAAAAAACTTACCCTTACAAAATATGTTCGTATAATAATTCATTACTTATTTTTTTTGTTTTATCATATTGTAAACTTAGCTTTTTTTATTTTTTTATTAAAAATTCTTAATATTTTCATTTTCAAATTTCTTGAGATCTATAGATACGTCGTATAAAAATTATAAATTCATATTTTGGTCATATGCATCTACATTGTTAATAGGTGATAGAATTATCAGATATCCCTATTTTGCTAATTTACATCCATATACAAGTAATTGGAGCGTTAAAGCTCAGTTGGTCAAGTTGTTATTTGTGACTAATCGTCCTGGGGGAAATATGACATTCAGAATTATTTTTGTTGATGGACAAGTATTTACAACTCTTATCATGAGATAATTGCTAAATATTTTGTTTTATATTATGTTAAAAATGTGTACTTATTACATTTTTTCAAAGGGTGATGCCATGAAAGGAACTGTATGCTATGAGGAATATGATTACTTCAAAGAACATTTAATTGAAGGAAAAATATATTGTTTTAGAGGAGTTCATGTTATATTGGTTGATGAGAAATTCAAGTTAGTGTCATATTATTATAAGATGTCTTTTACTAATGATACAACAATTGTGCACATACTTGATCATGATAATAATATACCACTTCAGTGGTATTTCATTAAGAAATTATCAGACATTGGCCAATTTTTCATCAAGATGTTCAATTAATATTTACGTTACTTTTGCCAAATGATACGTATCTAGATTATATACTTACATAGTTTATTACCAATACAAAAATTTAAACTATCAAAACAATAAACATGCTAATGCTAAAACATGCAGATAAGATTGGCTTGGTTGTTAGTATAACTGAAGGTCAAGGTATTGTAAATCGTGATAATTACAAGAGAGATATTCTACTACTTGATACAAGGTATGATACCATAACATATTTCTATGTCTTTACCAAATTTGAAATACTCTACGAATTGTATTATTTTTCCTAATCTCAACTTTTTTTTAATTGTAAAAATAGTTTCACATTAGTAAGATTAACTCTATTGGATGCGTTTGCAACAACTGATGGCATGCAACTATATCATACTCTAAAAAATGATAATGTTTTGTTTGCCACTAGATTAATAGTTAAAGATTATCATGGTAAGATTACTTTTCATTCACTTTTATAATATCTACATGCATATATAAATATTGATATTAATAAATTATCTTTTCTCAACTTCTAGGTCCATGTCTCGCTACATGCAAATACAGCAAGTTATATATTAATCATTCATTCCGTTATACAAATCATATTCGAGTGTGGTATGTTATGACTGTATAATATTAACCAATTATATATGACAATATAATTCTCACAATTATATATATATTGACATGTTTATCTAGGTTTGCTATAAATCCTATATCACAAAAGTTAGTATTTCGGAATCGAAAAAATGGATTCTCAATTTCACAGTCATTGGTAATATAAATGCCAAAAAAATTTGAATACATGATTTTGCACTCATGCCAAAGGTAAGAATTGTTATCATCCCAATTAATTAAAGTTAAACGATATATATATAAATTTGTTTAAAGAGAGATTAATTTATGTTTTTTCAAATATTTTGTAGGTTTCATATTTCGAATACTTAAGTACATCGAACAAATTGATGTTGACAACCTTTGGATTGATTTGCACAAAACCTGCTATCAAAAAGTTGAATATCATTACGGTCACATTGTTTGTCGCCACTGCCTACATGATGATATTGATATTATAGCGAGGTAATTTTCTTTCGGTAAATAATTGCTATGTATAATAATAATTCAAACTTAACAAGTGTTTTAATGTTTTATTAAGTACAATATTTTCATTTAACAAGTGCCTTTTTTTTTTTTTTATTAGATACAATGTTAACATTGTGGTCAAAGACAGTACTGGTTCAATAAATCTCATTGTTCAAGATAAACGGGCAGAGTTTATTTTGCGATGTCAACCATCATATTTGAAGAATATGAGATTAAAGGTAGGAAATTATAAAATTTATTATAAATAACTTATTCTTTCCTTTTCAAACACGAAGTTATAATTCCAAAATTTTATAGGATAATGACGTTAGAATAATTAAAGATTATATTGCGTCATGCCAAGACCGTGCCTATGCATTTATCATACCAGTACCAACAATGCCACGTTAACTAGATTGTGCACCGTGCATGACCTTTGTTTTAAATATAGCTTGGTCTGAAGAATGTCTATACCTTTCAGAAGGTAAAAAATATATGTAAGTATAATATTTTTACTTTATAACATTTTATAAATACATAATATATGTGTTGTTCATTAATTATAATACTAACTATCATGTTAACAATGTAAGAATGCTGATGGAAGGCCCACAACAATTTAGATTTTAGTTATACTTTATTTATTTATTCAGTGAATTTCAAACAAATGTAATACATTTTTATTTTTATTACTTTAATTATACAATGTCAACATTTTCGTTTAAAATTACATATATTTTATGTAACAATTTAAAAATATGTTTGACATAACTATAAATAGTTTTTTTTTTAAAATTCAATTTCGTGCATAGCACAGGTGTGTTTGACATAACTATAAATAGTTTTTTTAAATTCAATCCCGTGCGTAGCACGGGTGATATGCTAGTTATATTTTAAAGCAAAATAACCATAATAGACATAAAACACACCCATAATATTATATGAAAATATTCCCTATACACATCTTTTAAAAACAAAAAAAAATCTCAGTGCACATCTTTTAATAAAATAAAATAAAAAACTAAAGCCTAATTCCTTTATTTTAGACCAAAAAAAAAACAAATGAAAACAAAGTAGATTAGGAGATTTTTATGATTTTTTTTCTTTCTTCTTAGTATTAGTTTTCTAGTCAACCAAACAGATTAAGATCACATATTTATACATCCAACCAAAAATATAAGCATTATAAAATAATTAAAAATTGTTGGTTGTGTGGAGGAATTTTCATTACATATTAAACTCTTTAAAAAAAATAAAAAAATAAAAAAAAAACCTTTTTAATTGGCTAAATCTAACATTTTACAATAAACTCTTATGAACTTGACCCTAGAAACCAAACCTTAACTAAGAAGAAGCTGATGAAGCAAAATCCAACATTTTCATTATATATGAACTACCATTGGGGAAAATATATTGCAGACCTAAATTAGCTAAATCTAACATTTTCATTATATATGAACTACCAAATCGTTACCATGATGAAGCAAAAATACAAATTGAACATCTTAATAGCGAAGACCCAGATGAGATTTTATTCAATTAATCAACTTGCAAATAGAAATACTAGGGCTTGTTTTGAAAATAAAAAGATTGGTTTGATGATAGAGGTTAATGAAGATAATGGAGATGGAATTTTTTTGGGTTTAAAGTTACTTTTTGTTAGAATTTCAATTTCCTCTTGATCAGAATTTACTCTTGATTATAGATCTACGATGATTGAGGTAGTATGTACAAAATATGAGTTAAGGGTATGATTGAAATATTTAATATGTGAAATGAAAACAATAACTAATATTCAAATTACGAAGTTTGTGCACTAAAATAAGTAAGTGTGTTGAAATAAAATTTCTCAATCTTTGAGCAATAAAAATTTGAAATTAAACTTTTGACCTGAACACCCTTAAAATAGTTGAGAGTTATCATAATTAACCCAATTTTTTACCCAAGGCAATTTCTATGTCTCAATTTTATTTTATTTTTCTCAAATTTATCTTGTTTTCATTCCCAAATCTATCTATAGCAAGTCTCAATAATTCTCTTTTTCCCTCCAATCTCACCCATAATACAAATAACTTATCTTTTTCCTTTTTTTCAAATTCAAAATTTTCTAAGATTTTCAATATATAAATTATTTTTTAGTCAAAGTTATTCTTAAATTCTTCTTAATGTTATCAATTTTTTTCCCAAACCACAAAATTATTTTGATATCAAGTAACGAAAGATGAGACAATCATACATTAATCTGCTTCGCATACAAAGTACAAAGACAACGGTCCATTTTAACTTCTAATAAAAGAAAAATGCAGCTGCCAAAAATTCTAGTGGTTATGTTTTTAAAGCTATCTATGATTTGACACTCCTGCATCGTCACGAGTGAGCCTACATGCAGTATGCAGTGATTCTCCCTTAATGAAGACTGGAAAAACAGAAAAATACTCCGTCCTGACATGAGAAAACCGACTCAATTCTTTCAAACAATCTCTCTACAACTCATCCTTGAAACCAGAATCGGAGTCATCATCAGCTTCATCAGCCTTGGAATCAGAAGCTGCTGCTGCTTCTTCCTTTGTCTCAGATTCAGCCTCGGGTTCTTCCACATCATCTTCCTCCTCAACAGCTGTATCGGGACTGATGTTTAGACTAGCCTTCACTGAGTCGTAGATACGGGAAGCAAAGTCCTTCGGGTCATTATTAACGAAGCCACTCTCCATCAGGGCTGTTTGGTACATGAGCTGTGCTGTCTGCTTTACACTTGCATCCTGAAAAGCAAATAAATCAACCATTAATCATTATATATGGGATAAGGTTTTTCAGCAGAGCAATCACAGCTGCTATTGAGAACTCTTTAATGATCCATAGGGCTGCAAATGCAAATGAAATGAGCTGCTTGTGGACTCAAGCTCGGCTCCAATGGTTTGACCAATTCAATCATCAGTCCTCTACCCAAGTCAGTAAGTCACCAGCAAAAACTTCCATTATATAGAAGTTCACAGTCAACGCGAGCCTCTAAATTAGAGTTTTTGCTCCCCCATTAACAAAATACTCATACTAGGCAAATCTATTCCCCCAAGGCCTCCCCCTTAACAACACTCATTATTCAAAAGCTTTTGTTCCCCTCTAAACAATATTCATAGTAGGTTTCTATATGGGCCTAAAACCTCTAAATTTTAGGTTGCATTCAAATATACACAGCATATGTGAAAACAAATTCAAATGTAAGTACCTCAGGGTCCTTTACAACTCTCTCCCGAAGCTCCTTGATAATTGGATGCCTTGGGTTGATCTCGAGCACCCTCTTGCCTCGCATATACGCCTGCTTGTTGGCATCGGATAGAGTTTGTGATTGCATAATCCTCTCCATATTTGCACTCCAGCCATATTTTGATGTCACAACCACACAAGGGGTGTCAGCAAGACGGTTGCTTAGCTTCACATCATCCACATTCTCAACAGCAAGAGCACCCTTCCACCATTTGGTCAACTCCTTGAATGACTCCTTCAATTCCTTGTCTTTGGAATCCTTACCCAGCTTTAGGCCCTCCTTGGACACATTCTGGAACTTGTACTCTTCATAATCCATCAGGTATTGCATCAGGTACTCATCCACAGGATCCGTGAAGTAAATAACCTGAAATACATTATCCCAGACAATGAAAATGAAAAGGCAAAATATTAATTAACAATAAAGAAAAACAGTACCCCAAAAAATTAAATAGACAAAATTCCAAAGATCTCCAAGAAGCTAAAACGTCATAAAATGCAACAATACCTCGTAATTTTTCTTGGTAAGCCTCTCAAGGAATGGAGATTTCTCCAATTGCTCCTTGGTGGTTCCTGTAATGTAAAAGATGTCCTTCTGCCCCTTTTTCATCCTTGAAATGTACTGGTCTAGTGAAGTTAATTTGCCACCAGACTTCGTACTGTAAACAGGAACACACGAAATAAAACATTCACAAGTTACATTCCAATGGCCAGCCTTGTATAAATAAATAACTAAGCAACTTCCAGGACTTCATAGAAAAAGTTAAATACCTCTCAAATCTGAGAAGTTTTGCCAAGCGATTTCTGTTAGTCGCATCCTCAATAATACCAAGTTTAATTGACTTGCCAAACTCATTCCAGAACTTTGTATATTGACCTTTCTTCTCATCGTCGTCACCGGATTCCTCAATATCTGCAGCATGATTGATAATTGCAGTTAGGCAAGGGAAAAAAAACCACAACAATAACAAATGATCAAGTTATATCATTTTAATTAAGGTAAGCAACTTGCTCACACAGCTAATAGAATTGATAGATACACAGCATTCCTTCAGGTTATTCTAAAAGAAGGTTCTACCTTTCTTGTTTTTGTCAGTTTCATCAGGATCCTCTTCAGCAATCCTGCGGATCATATCAAGGGCCTTCCGGATTAGTTTCTTCTTGATTGTTTTCAAGCTGCTGTGTTGTTGAAGCATTTCTCGTGAGACATTCAGGGGTAAGGTGTCAGAATCAACAAGTCCCTAGTCAAAACAACAATATTATTAACCACAAGCCAAAGGCACAGTATATAGTATAGCGTACAAGAAAACAATTTTGCAAAATATCTTAATTACCTTCAAGAAGTTTAGATACTTGGGCAAAAGCTCATCAAATTCATCTGAGATGAAGACCCGTCTGACGTACAACTTCAAATTTGATTTATTCGCGTTATAGTAGCTTTCATAC